CACCATTCTACTACAGCAACAGCAAGAGCAACACATCCACCCTCTTTATGTCTTGAGTCAATCTGATGGCATGTTGGTATTATCATGGACACCAGTTACATGTTATCTTTAGGACATCTGGTGGCATGTTGGTATTATCATGGACACCAGTTACATGTTATCTTTAGGACATCTGGTGGCATGTTGGTATTATCATGGACACCAGTTACATGTTATCTTTAGGACATCTGACGGCATGTTGGTATTATCATGGACACCAGTTACATGTTATATTTAGAACATCTGATGGCATGTTAGTATTATCATGGACACCAGTTACATGTTATCTTTAGAACATCTGGTGGCATGTTGGTATTATCATGGACACCAGTTACATGTTATCTTTAGAACATCTGGCATGGCATGTTACATGTTATCTTTAGAACATCTGGTATCATGGTCATGGACACCAGTTACATGTTTTCTTTAGAACATCTGGTGGCATGTTGGTTATAGGTAGAATATAGATTAGGTTTATCTTCCGAAAGCGTGTAGATGTTAGACGATATTATGATACTGTATTGTATTTTATAGATAGTATGTAGACGTTATATCACATTATTATACTGAATGAGTTATAGTCTAGCGATTATATTCAATAAACGAGTCTAACAAGTTGCGTGTCTTTTAATTTAGTGCTGTTACACTTTCTGTTTTTAAATGACAGTGAAATGAATATATATATATATGTCTTCGAAATAAAACTCATTTGGATTTTGTATTTGAAATGTATATTAAAACAGAACTTGTTCTCGTCACTATATGGCTGCAAAAATGCCCATGTGACGTAAAGCCCAACTCAACTCAACTCAGTAAACGATTCAGAAAAATTATTATGCTTCAAGAGTTTAAAAGATAAATAAGAAAATGTGTGTTAAAAATGCATTGTTGTGAGATGGTTTTAAACTTATTCGAAATTTATCCTGAATGTTTTTTAAAATATAATATAAAAATCTCTACTAAAATCGTGCTGTATATATAGAGTGGACTGGATGGTTTTGGTACGATGACTCAGCTGACTGCTTGTCATCGAAACATCGACGGCGTGGATAGTTGTTTTCTACATCAGTGATATCATTGTTTTGTCTGTTGTGGTCAAGTCATTCTGAATAACTAACTGTGTACATTGTCTGTTGTCGTCAAGCCATACTGAATAACTAACTGTGTACATTGTCTGTTGTGGTCAAGCCATACTGAATAACTAAATGGGTACACTGTCTGTTGTCGTCAAGCCATTCTGGATAACTAACTGTGTGCATTGTCTGTTGTCGTCAAGCCATACTGAATAACTAACTGTGTACATTGTCTGTTGTCGTCAAGCCATACTCAATAACTAACTGTGTACATTGTCTGTTGTGGTCAAGCCATTCTGAATAACTAACTGTGTACATTGTCTGTTGTCGTCAAGCCATACTGAATAACTAACTGTGTACATTGTCTGTTGTCGTCAAGCCATACTGAATAACTAACTGTGTACACTGTCCGTTGTCGTCAAGCCATTCTGGATAACTAACTGTGTACATTGTCTGTTGTCGTCAAGCCATACTGAATAACTAACTGTGTACATTGTCTGTTGTCGTCAAGCCATACTGAATAACTAACTGTGTACACTGTCCGTTGTCGTCAAGCCATTCTGAATAACTAACTGTGTACATTGTCTGTTGTCGTCAAGCCATTCTGAATAACTAACTGTGTACACTGTCCGTTGTCGTCAAGCCATTCTGGATAACTAACTGTGTACATTGTCTGTTGTCGTCAAGCCATTCTGAATAACTAACTGTGTACATTGTCTGTTGTCGTCAAGCCATACTGAATAACTAACTGTGTACATTGTCTGTTGTCGTCAAGCCATACTGAATAACTAACTGTGTACATTGTCTGTTGTCGTCAAGCCATACTGAATAACTAACTGTGTACATTGTCTGTACATATGATGCCATAATGATTTCATTCTTCTACATATGACATTCCGCGATGTGTTTGATACGTGGACTTGACACGGGTCTCTTTAGCCAGCTAGTGAGAGTAATTTGTACTTCCTTAACCTTTTTCTACAACTCATTAAGCTGAGGAAAGGCCTCAAGTCTGACAATGGGGATAGTTTAAGTAAAATAAGTTCACAGACACTCTTCGGTCTACAGTGAAGGCATATTCCGGCTCCCTCTAAGCTTTTGATAGAATCTTTATTCATGTTTAAATGTGTGTGGCAGGTTACTGCCCGCGATCCCCCCTCCAGTTGATATGAATAAGGTCAAATTGATGTACTTACAATAACCCAAACTCAAAATTTGATGTATACAATTTGGGCTAATCCTTTAGTCCTTGTTTGGACGTCAGGTGGCCATAAAAGCTCTTACCAACGACCTGCAAACTCAGTGGACGCGACTGGTGTGTTCCTACTGGTCAGTGAAGCACAATGATTTAGTTGACCGATATATTAACTGGATGCTGTAGATGGGATGCCGTGATCTCGGTCTTATCTTTAACGTGCATTACAAAGCAGCGATCAGTGTGATTCAGTTAACGAGGCACAGTTCGCGCTTGACGCAAGCACACATCGCTTCACCGTTCTCGCCCAGCTCTGATGTCGATGGCCAAGGGGGTGCAAGGGACCCGTAGCAAGAGTTACATGGTGATTGATTCCGTAATCTGAGTTAGTATCAGTACATGAAATCCTACCTTCGAAACACCCATTAGAATCTTCTAGTTTATTTTGTGTTTCTTGCACGTCGTGGCACATTCTCATGCGTCAGGAATGGTCATATGTATATATCACCTTCCTCTGACCCAGTTCAGCATTGTCAAACATCATAGTTTCTGCGTGTGATATGTTCCGCTGAAAGGATAACATTAGCCACGTCCCAAGATTACGTTCGGGGACTCAAATGATACTAAGCTCAGTTTCTCTCGCAAATCTCAGGAATACCAACATAGCTAAATAAGAAATGCTTCTTAAAATTTCTCTGCCTCGATTGATTTGCTTGTATTAGTGTTTCAATCAACAGAGTAAGAATTCATGTTTGGTGGTTAATTGCAAGGTTTGGCCGGTGCAAAGTCTTCCCACCTCAACATCCAACTGTGTATTCGGTGATCCCACGCTTCAAGGGCAGCCATAAAACTGTTCTCAAGCCACACTATAATCATGAACGTTATTGGAACGTCATGCTTGTCACATAGTCTGGTATAACCGGTGTTCATCATGTGCAGGGGTTCGGAAAACATTAATCCCTGTTTATTGGCACTTATTGCGTCGGAATGAATGGCGGTAATGCAAACGCTATTTGTCCATGTTTACTTTAACACTTGACGTAACATGTTATGGAGATGTTATCTGACTGATATCTTCGCCACATATGTACTGATTGTTTAGTGTCGCTACGAAGGTGATAGCAGTGATTCCACTCATTTGTTCACGGACAAACATATGTCAACTGTGTAGTTCTTTGGCTACATTTTGTCGCTCTGTACTTCTCCCAGTCGGGGCGGTGGGGTAGCCTAGTGGTTAAAGCGTTCTCTCATCACGCCAAAGACCTGGGTTCGATTCCACTAGTGGGTACAATGTGTGAAGCCCATTTCTGGTGCCTCCAGCCGTGATATTGCGGGAATATTGCTAACAGCGGCGTAAACCCATACTCACTCACTCGCCCGTATCATCAACTGATTCTATCAGAACAGGACTGGTGTTTAGATTATTCATAGCACTGAATATAAATAATGAACAAGAACACAAGAATGTAATATACATACACGCATGACAATCTCCACAACCAAGCGAGTGAGTATTCTTGAAATTAACCTAGGCTACGTATGTCGACATGTATTAATAATAATAATAATAATAAATGGATATTTCTTATGCGCCATAGTCCATCCAGAGCATGCTCAAAGTGCTACATATAAAAAGAGTGACTAGAGTTCAAGAAGAAGATATGACAATTAGCCAAAAATAACCGTGAGAGTATTTTACAGTTATAGGTTGTAGACTTTTTGAAGAGGAAGGTTTTGAGTCCCGATTTGAATGCTTCTAGGGATGAAGCATTTTTTATGGGAGTAGGAAGACTGTTCCATAGGGTTGGTGCTGCAAATTTGAATGACCTATGGCCAAAGTGTTTGAGACGAACTTGGGGAACTGAGAGAAGATGTTGATTCTGAGAGCGGAGAGAACGGGCAGGCATATATGTTGACAACATCTCAGAGAGGTATGGAGGAGCTAGGCCGTGTTTGCAGCGGAAAACAAGAGTGCAGATCTTGAAATGAATTCTTGCTTCAACCGGCAGCCAATGCAGACTCTGGAGGATTGGGGTTATGTGAGTCCATTTGGATGTTTTAGTGACAACTCTGGCGGCAGCATTCTGAAATTTTGAAGTCTGAAGAGAAGATCATTGGAGATTCCAAACAGTAGGCTATTGCAATAGTCAATCCTGGAGAGAACAAGTGACTGAGTGAGAACTTTAGCAGCATCTGTGGTTACAAGATGGCGGATGTTACCAATAGAGTGGAGATGGAAGTAGCCTACTCTACAGAGATGGTTCACATGTTGCTCCATGGTGAGACAAGGATCAAGATGAACACCTAGGTTTTACACTGGATGAAAGTGGGATATCTGAGTTGGCTACTGTGATGTCCGTAGAGTTTATCCTTTTCAGACATTGCGATGTGCCAATCAACATAGCCTCAGTCTTATCATCATTGAGCTTCAGCTCATTTGTCATCATCCATGAACTAATTGCCTTCGTGCACTGACTCACTCTAGATCTGGCTATTTGTACATCCTCTGGTTTGAAGGAATCCATCAATTGGAGGTCGTCTGCAAATGCGTGGTGATTCAGATCAAAGTTATCAATGACCTTCTCCAAAGGGTTTGTGTATAACACAAGAGAAGCGGCCCAAGGACTGAGCCCTGGGGTACACCACACTCTAGGATCGTTGACTCAGAGATGCTTTCAGAGACAAGAACTGACTGACTCCTCATGCTCAGATAGGAACGGAACCAGGCCAATGCATCCCCTTGTATGTTATAGTCATCCTGAAGACGGCTAAGGAGCTTCTGATGGTTGACCGTGTCGAACGCCGCTGAGAGATCAAGCAAGAGGAGAAGTGACACATTACCCAAATCCGCATGGCATCTCAAGTTATTCAGAATTTGAAGTAAGGCGGTCTCGGTACTGTGCCTAGGACGATAGGCTGATTGGAATCTGTTCAGAAAATCATTTGAAGAGATAGGATCTGAGTCTGACATCAACTGCACGTTCAAGGATCTTGGAAAGGAAAGAGAGGTTGGAGACAGGTCTGTAATTCTTGAGAGTATTGATATCCAAATTGTCTTTCTTAAGTAATGGCTTTACCACAGCTTGCTTGAACACCTCTGGAAAGACACCATTACCTAAGCTCAAGTTGATCAGTTTCGTGATAACTGGCAAAGAGTCTCCAAAAAGTCATCAAGGAGACGAGTTGGCATCGGATCGAAAAGACACAATGTCTTTTTGACCGTTTGATGAGTGCAGCTATCTCACCCTCAGTGAAAGAATCAAAGGTGTCCAGGCAGATCCATCATCGGGTGGGCATGTTGAAGGATCCTGTGTGTCAAGAAATGTTTGGTCAAAGCTTTTCCTGATATTTTCAATTTTACTTGAGAAGTAGGCTGAAAAATTGTCAGCAAGATCCTTGTCATTAGTGGACGGTGGTAATGGGGTATCATTCTTCTTGCCAAGTAGAGATCCCATGAATTTGTGATAGAAGGAAGGATTTTTCACATTGTCAGAGAGTTTCTTGGTACAGTAACTGGATTTGGCTCCTCTAAGAGCCCTAGCACAAGAGTTCCGCTCAGACTTATACAACTGACGGTGAATTTCAAGGCGACTCTTCCGCCATTTTCTCTCTGCAGCTCTGCGTTTCCGCTTGGCTAAGAGAACCTGCTCATTATACCAAGGAGTCCCTGATCTGACAATGATTTCCTTCAGAGCTGATGGAGCATGTTTATCTAAGAGAGATGACAATGTGGATGAATACAACTCAGCAAGTTGGTTTACATCATCCGGGGGGGTCTTGGAGTAAGTCAGAGTTTACAAGATCTCTTCGAAACTCAACATTGTCAATAGACTTGAGATTACGACAGGATTGTTTGATAGTCTGACGCTGAGGTCTGTCAATACTCCAGGTCATAGAAACCAGAAAGTGGTCGGAAAGTTGTATATCCTGCACATTGACAGAAGACACTAAGGAACTACTTTCAGAGGATATCACCCAGTCAAGGATATGGCCTCCTTTATGTGTTGGAGCATCAACATACTGACACAAACTATGTTGTTTGAGAAGATTTTTCATCTTCTTTGTATCTGAGCACTGATTGTTATCGTAGTGAATATTAAAATCACCTAGCAAAATAGTGTTCAACTGATTGTACCTCTCAACGAGTACAGACAACTCACCATGGAATACAGAGGTTGAAAGTTGGTTTTTCTTTGACGACGGTGGACGATACAAACACACAACACGAGCACAAGTATTTCCAGAACTAATTTTAGTGTTGATTGACTCAAAGCTTTTGAATTCTTCCAAATTGTCTAAACATTCTATCTGAATGTTAGACCTATGTATCACTGCTACACCCCCACCAGCGCGCTGGGATCTTGGAGCATGTTTACAAATTGTGACCCCTTATATTCATGTAACAGCCTGGAACAGAAGGACACTCTGTTATCTGTTTGACATTTCAATATTTCGTTCCTATTTTCTTTCCAACTTTCTGTCATAGTGGATCAACATCGATAGTGCCTACAGCCACTTTTGGACCATAGTACTTCACATATCATGTACAAGCAAGACAAATAAACCATTATCATTTTATCAGTTAGTTATAGATTTGTACATTGTAAATTATCTATTAATGACCAGTCCAGCATATGTTTCCATTTTATTACAAATGTTGTTTCATTATGTTTTTGTTACAAATGTTGTTTCATTATGTTTATTGCAAGTGATGTATTGTAAATAATGGATTTGCCTTAGTATGATCTTCTTTGTATGATTCAACTCTAGAGGAAATGAAGACATTCATTCATTCATGTTTTAAAACTAATTAGCTGGTGATGGTTACATTTATGTTACAACACTAATTAACTGGTGATGGTTACATTTATGTCCCAACACTAATTAACTGGTGATAGTTACATGTATGTTACAACACTAATTAACTGGTGATGGTTACATGTATGTTACAACTCTAATTAACTGGTGATGGTTACATGTATGTTACAACTCTAATTAACTGGTGATAGTTACATGTATGTTACAACACTAATTAACTGGTGATGGTTACATGTATGTTACAACATGTGATGGTTATGTATGTTACAACTCTAATTAACTGGTGGTATGGTTACTAATTAATGTATAGTTACAACACTAATTAACTGGTGATAGTTACATGTATGTTACAACACTAATTAACTGGTGATAGTTACATGTATGTTACAACACTAATTAACTGGTGATGGTTACATGTATGTTTCAACACTAATTAACTGGTGGTAGTGACATGTAATGTTTCAACACTAATTAACTGGTGATGGTTACATGTATGTTACAACACTTATTAAGTGGTGGTAGTTACATGTATGTTACAACACTAATTAACTGGTGATGGTTACATGTATGTTAAAACATTAATTAACTGGTGATAGTTACATGTATGTTACAACACTAATTAACTGGTGATAGTTACATGTATGTTACAACACTAATTAACTGGTGATGGTTACATGTATGTTAAAACATTAATTAACTGGTGATGGTTACATGTATGTTACAACTCTAATTAACTGGTGATAGTTACATGTATGTTACAACACTAATTAACTGGTGATGGTTACATGTATGTTACAACATTAATTAACTGGTGATGGTTACATGTATGTTACAACTCTAATTAACTGGTGATAGTTACATGTATGTTACAACACTAATTAACTGGTGATAGTTACATGTATGTTACAACACTAATTAACTGGTGATGGTTACATGTATGTTTCAACACTAATTAACTGGTGGTAGTGACATGTAATGTTTCAACACTAATTAACTGGTGATGGTTACATGTATGTTACAACACTTATTAAGTGGTGGTAGTTACATGTATGTTACAACACTAATTAACTGGTGATGGTTACATGTATGTTAAAACATTAATTAACTGGTGATGGTTACATGTATGTTACAACTCTAATTAACTGGTGATAGTTACATGTATGTTACAACACTAATTAACTGGTGATGGTTACATGTATGTTACAACATTAATTAACTGGTGATGGCTTCATGTATGTTACAACTCTAATTAACTGGTGGTAGTTACATGTATGTTTCAACACTAATTAACTGGTGGTAGTTACATGTAATGTTCCAACACTAACTAACTGGTAGTAGTTACATGTAATGTTCCAACACTAATTAACTGGTGATGGTTACATGTATGTTACAACACTTATTAAGTGGTGGTAGTAACATGTATGTTACAACACTAATTAACTGGTGATGGTTACATGTATGTTACAACACTAATTAACTGGTGATAGTTACATGTATGTTACAACACTAATTAACTGGTGATGGTTACATGTATGTTACAACATTAATTAACTGGTGATGGTTACATGTATGTTACAACACTAATTAACTGGTGGTAGTTACATGTATGTTTCAACACTAATTAACTGTTGATGGTTACATGTATGTTACAACATTAATTAACTGGTGATGGTTACATGTATGTTACAACACTAATTAACTGGTGGTAGTTACATGTATGTTTCAACACTAATTAACTGGTGATAGTTATATGAAATGTTCCAACACTAATTAACTGGTGATGGTTACATTTATGTTACAACACTTATTAAATGGTGGTAGTTACATGTATGTTACACAACAATTTACTGGTGATAGTTACATGTATGTTACAACACTAATTAACTGGTGATAGTTACATGTATGTTACAACACTAATTAACTGGTGATGGTTACATGTATGTTTCAACACTAATTAACTGGTGGTAGTGACATGTAATGTTTCAACACTAATTAACTGGTGATACTTACACGTAATGTTTCAACACTAATTAACTGGTGGTAGTTACATGTAATGTTCCAACACTTACTAACTGGTAGAAGTTACATGCAATGTTACAACACTAATTAACTGGTGATGGTTACATGTATGTTACAACACTAATTAACTGGTGATAGTTACATGTATGTTACAACACTAATTAACTGGTGATAGTTACATGTATGTTACAACACTAATAAACTGGTGATGGTTACATGTATGTTTCAACACTAATTAACTGGTGGTAGTGACATGTAATTTTTCAACACTAATTAACTGGTGATAGTTACACGTAATGTTTCAACACTAATTAACTGGTGATAGTTACATGTATGTTACAACTCTAATTAACTGATGGTAGTGACATGTAATGTTACAACACTAATTAACTGGTGATGGTTACATGTATGTTACAACTCTAATTAACTGGTGATAGTTACATGTATGTTACAACACTAATTAACTGGTGGTAGTTACATGTATGTTACAACACTAATTAACTGGTGATGGTTACATGTATGTTACAACACTAATTAACTGGTGATAGTTACATGTATGTTACAACACTAATTAACTGGTGGTAGTGACATGTATGTTACAACACTAATTAACTGGTGATGGTTACATGTATGTTACAACTCTAATTAACTGGTGGTAGTGACATGTAATGTTACAACACTAATTAACTGGTGATGGTTACATGTATGTTACAACTCTAATTAACTGGTGATACTTACATGTATGTTACAACACTAATTAACTGGTGGTAGTGACATGTGTGTTACAACACTAATTAACTGGTGATAGTTAAATGTAATGTTCCAACACTAATTAACTGGTGGTAGTGATATATATGGGTGTTTTAACGTTAATAAAACTGTAACAGGAACAGATTTTTTTAAAAGCTAATAACCAAGGGATGTTATACGTGTTCTAGCTCCCCGTGATGGCAAATGGTTTACTAACAGAAGTCCATAAACTGTTCCTAATGATAGCTCATCTTGTCCCACCAATGACAGCGTTATCAGTGGAGGTCCGGCATGTAAAAAGTAGCCTTGGATCAGAAATCAAAGCCCAAACAACATATCTTGTTACAATTTATGAAGAGGATGGGCACTTTATGGCGCTGCACATGCCCGCCCAGGTGGAAACACGCCTACAAAAGTGTTTGCAACTAACGAGGTTCCGTCACTCGGCTCCCTGCATGTCCATTGAAGCAGAATGTCGGCGGCGGGAGAACTACCCTTACTACTGGTAAACTGGGGTGCAGCTGGGTGGAGGGATGGGGAGGTAAAAGTGTCCTTCGGGTTTCGGTTGTTTTTTGTTGAGTTGTAGAATGTACATCACTGGAATACCTGGTTATGCTTTATTAGATGAGAATCTTATTAAATCTGATTAAGGGAGCACACGCGTGCCAGTACAGATGAAACGTCTAAAGATTGTTCATATGTTTTTGTAAAATTGTGTCGAATTTCTACAAGTAAAAACAGGCGGCATGCATATCTAAAACTGACGCTTCAGTTGATGTATGAAAGATAGCACAAAGCCACAAAAACTGAACTTGAGTTAGTGTTTTATAGCGCCACGCGCCTCGACATCAGCTATTGCATGTCCATCTGTGATGTATAGGGTGTTGGATCATGTTAACGGGATCACAGCAGGATCTGCAACTGTTTTTCCCTTTCTCAGCAGAGGGGAGGTGTCATTGTAAACTTGGAAGGGGGAAGGATTTGTACAATACTTTTGTGCCTTAGGCCGCTTTTTGCTGAAGTAAGAACAGGAGTAGAGAAGTGGAAATATCATCAACGGGGCACATTTGTTCTATCGAATCGTAAACTATAAAGATCTGCAAAAAGCAGTCAGCGTCGATGTCAACCGGTTGTTCCTGACATGATCCGAGTTGTGGGTGCAGTGGATGTGGTGGAAGCTCCACTAGTAACTGTGGGTGCTGTACATGTCGATGAAGGTGCAGTAGAGTTGCTGGATGCAGTAAATGTTTAGGAAGATTTAATAATAGTTGTGGGTACAGTAGATATCGAGGAGGATTCACCAGTAGTAATTGTGGGTGCAATAGATGTCGAGGAAGTTTCAGGAGTGGTTGTGGGCGCAGTAGATGGTGAGGTAGGTTGAGTAATAGTTGTCGGTGCAGTAGATGTCACGGAAGGTGCAGTAGTGGTTGTGGGTGTAGTAGATGTCGTAGAAGCTTCAGTATTCGCTGTGGTAGATGGAAAAAAGAAACCTGGGGTACAATGTGAGATAACAGGTGGATCTCTTTACAGTAGTGCTTGCTTACAGAGTAGCTCCGGCATACACCCTGACGAGCATAGAGCAATTGTAACCTACTTCGTAACTGGCAGTAGGTGAAGTAGTAGTTTCGTATACTTAAGAAAGATGACATGAACATCAGTACTAAACAACAACATGGAAACAAGGCACAAAAGTCAAGGGAGAGTGAGTACAGGAGCATCAGTTGTGTAGGGAAAGTGGGTGGGGTAATATCAGTAGTGTAGGGAAAGTGGATGGGGTAATATCAGTAGTGTAGGGAAAATGGGGGGTAATACCAGTAGTGTAGGGAAAGTGGGTGGGTAATATCAGTAGTGTAGGGAAAGTGGGTGGGGTAATACCAGTAGTGTAGGGAAAGTGGGTGGGGTAATATCAGTAGTGTAGGGAAAGTGGGTGGGGTAATATCAGTAGTGTAGGGAAAGTGGGTGGGGTAATATCAGTAGTGTAGGGAAAGTGGGTGGGGTAATATCAGGAGTGTAGGGAAATGGGTGGGGTAATATCAGTAGTGTAGGGAAAGTGGGTGGGGTAATACCAGTAGTGTAGGGAAAGTGGGTGGGGTAATATCAGTAGTGTAGGGAAAGTGGGTGGGGTAATATCAGTAGTGTAGGGAAAGTGGGTCGGGTAATACCAGGAGTGTAGGGAAAGTGGGTGGGGTAATACCAGTAGTGTAGGGAAAGTGGGTGGGGTAATACCAGTAGTGTAGGGAAAGTGGGTGGGGTAATATCAGTAGTGTAGGGAAAGTGGGTGGAGTAACATACGTAGTGTAGGGAAAGTGGGTGGAGTAACATACGTAGTGTAGAGAAAGTGGGTGGAGTAACATACGTAGTGTAGGGAAAGTGGGTGGAGTAACATACATAGTGTAGGGAAAGTAGGTGGAGTAACATACGTAGTGTAGGGAAAGTAGGTGGAGTAACATACGTAGTGTAGGGAAAGTAGGTGGAGTAACATACGTAGTGTAGGGAAAGTGGGTGGAGTAACATACGTATTGTAGGGAAAGTGGGTGGAGTAACATACGTATTGTAGGGAAAGTGGGTGAAGTAACATACGTATTGTAGGGAAAGTAGGTGGAGTAACATACGTAGTGTAGGGAAAGTAGGTGGAGTAACATACGTAGTGTAGGGAAAGTGGGTGGAGTAACATACGTAGTGTAGGGAAAGTAGGTGGAGTAACATACGTAGTGTAGAGAAAGTGGGTGGAGCAACTTAAGTAGTGTAGCGAAAGTGGGTGGAGTAACATAAGTATTGTGGGGAAAGTAGCTGTAGAGTGAGTGAGTGGGTGAGTTTAGTTTTTAGCCGCTTTTTGCAATATTCCAGCAATGTAACGGCGGTGCCAGCAGAAATAGGTTTCATGCATTGTATCCATGTGGGGAATCGAACCCCGGTCTTCGGCGTGACGAACGAACGCTTTTACTACTAGACTACCCCACCGCCCTAACTGCGGAAACATAATTAGTGCAGGTAAAGTAAGTGTAGTGAAGTAAGTTCTGCAAATTAGCGCCATGAGCACAGAAACACTAATATTCTTTTCACGAGGTGATCAATGCTTTCATGTACAGGTTTTTTAAAGACTTAAGGGCTATTTATTAAATAGTGGTAGCTGAAACTGGCCTGTCATCACTTCCATGAACTTAACTTCAGAAGGTGCACACATTTAGCTTTATAACTCACCAAACTGCCTTGTGTTCACAGTGATGCTTTTCATTAATGGTATTGCCTATTATCAACGTCATATTCAAGTTCGCAACTGACTGCCCATGTTGGTCTACTTGCTGATTTATCTGTATCGCAAGTAAGAGGACCTCCATATATGCAATAACTGCTATCTCGCAGCCTCATTCTCTGCCGTGTTATCTGATAGGCTGGCATAGTAGAACATGCATATTCGGACAATGCTCGATGAGAAACGTGGTGTACTCCTTTTGTGAATACGTGGATGTCGTCAATCCTCTCTGGGTGTTGTTTATTACAGCTAGAGCATAAAAACGTATATATCTCCGTATAATATCTCTGCCATCTATTTCAATACACGTTAAGCATTCATTCTCACTGTGCAGTCTCCGCATGGTGCGCCTCTTCTCGAGTAGGCTGACACGATGTATGTATTATATGATCGCAATACAGTAAACGATGGGGAAACATTTCGGTAATAAAATCAATCCGTAAGACGTTTACAAAAGAATTCGTCCTGGGCCTATTTCGACCTTAATTCCTGGTTTAGCCTCTGGGGCAGTCTGATATACAATTAACTCTTCAATGGAAATTCAACGGAGCAAGCAAAAAAGTACCTACTTAACCAGAATCCTGTCTATCAAACCATGCTCCAAGACATGATCATATTCATATACAGCTATGTAGTGCAATAAAACGGACTTCCGCTTGTGTTATGTTTGGTCCCTGATATAAATATCAGACATTTATTATCCCAAATTTAATGATCATACAATCATTAGAGTATTTGGGAAGTATTAATGGCCTGAATGCCTATTCGTGGTCAAAGTGTTCGCTCCCAAGTCCCTGTTTTGATTCCAAAATGACTGACTCCTTTTCCGGGTGCCCCCGCAGGGTTGTAGGCGGTGTATAGCCCTAGTTACTGTACATCACTGATCATGTACACTGTGGTGTTACAGGCGTCCATGGGCTGGAATATTGCTAAGTGCGGCGTAAAACTAAACTCACTTACTCACTCACAGTCGTCCACGGAGTGAACATGGTCGACACGATCAACTCAGTGAGTGAGTGAGTTGGGTTTTACGTCGGTTTTAGCCATATTCCAGCAATATTACGGCGGGTGACACCAGAAATGGGCTTCACACATGTACCCATGTGAGGAATCGAACCCGGGTCTTCGGCGAACGCTTTAACCACTAGGCTACCCCACCGCCCCGACTCAACTAGGGGGTGATTTTGATCATTGTCGGCGGTTATGTTAAGGTGGTGGTCAACAGTGGCTTGAGTAAATTCATTAATCTCTACAGACTTGACTAAGCACTGATTCAATTGGTCATAGTGTTCATTGTTCTTTTGTATTCATTACGAATAGCCGTGTTGAAGATTTTGTCTATTTTCCTGACTATTCAAATGTATATCAAACAAGACTAAGGTGTCAAATGCATGATAATGATTCTGTAGCCAACCCATAAAAAGAACACTAAAATCCAAAGTTACCAGTCAAAGCAATCATAACGCTGTCTTCTTCTTTCAGCAAGGCCTCCCAATGTTTTATTCAGGAAACCAGATGGGGTGCCGTAGCGTCATTAACAGACGAAATGTCAAGCTAAAATCATTCTGTTATACCCTTAGCTAGGAACCTCACTTGCACTTCTCCGCCATGAAAACGGGGGTGGTGGGGTAGCCTAGTGGTTAAAGCTTTGGCTCGTCACGCCAAAGACCCGGGTTCGATTCCCCCCATTTCTGGTGTCCCCCGCCGTGATATTGCTGGGATATTGCTTGAAGCGGCGTAAGAACACACTCACCCATCACCATGGAAACGTTGCGTGATCACACGAACGTTACTACAAAATCTATCTATCTATCTATCTATCTATCTATCTATCTATCTATCTATCTATCTATCTATCTATCTATCTATCTATCTGTCTGTCTGTCTGTCTGTCTATCTATTTATCTATCTATCTATCCATCTATCTATCTATCTGGCTGACTGGCTGTCTGGTTGTCTGTCTATCTACAGCAAGCAAATGTCATTACTTTACGTATTCCTATTCTCATGCAAAGTATAACAATATTGTATTCGGTCCGTGTTATCGTGGTACTCTATTTACATGGATACCTTGTATCTGCTATAGATACACACTTCCCTTTAGGAAAGATTCAGGGGAGAAATAACTGCTCAAACCAACAAGTTTGCTTGCGGCTTTAAGAGGACTTTCAGACACTACTCTTTAATACTGACAGAATACAATCAACTGTAGTCAGCCACAATTCCAGACAAAAGGCGAACTACGGTAGCACAGACTGACTCGGAGAGTGCAATTCAAAGCGCCCCTCAATGTAACGCACAGTTAGTTAAACGTTGCGCAAAGGATTTTCTTCACTGAGATCTTGTGATTGCTGTGCTTGTGTGATCAGATACTTTCTCCTCCGCAGAATGGGACAAGGCTGCATATAGCGCTGGTCGGGGAGGCAGGGTGCTGTCGCCACTAGCCCTCTCTCACGACCTGGACTTCGTCTACCTGCCTACGCACTGTAGGGATTGATTTTTGAAGAAATTTAATTTAAACTGTCAAGGACACTTCTACATGAGTGGAAAGTAAATAAAACTGGTTAATTCAGTCTCTTAGCAACGCCTTGGGGACTCTCGACGCCGAGTGAGAGCAGCATTGTTCCGACCATGGCGAATCTTAACTTTAAGCAGAATCGGTTCTACCATGTCCCAAAGCTTTGTTGCCAGTAAATGTCAGTGGATAAACCAATTGCGTCAGCTTTCTACGGAATGGATTAGAAAACGTTCCGAGATGATGCTGAGATTGAAACCACAGAAGACAGCAAGTAAGTACTGGGATTATCATTGATAACTGAGTGACAGGTAGTGTGTTTGGATGGATACAGGAAGGTAGAAGCAGCCCTCTGTCTCATCAGCAGATTTCAACATTTTCTCATCATCAATTGTGTTCCATTTAATTTATTGTAAAAGAGATCCCTATTTTTCACCTGCCTTGTTAATCACAAAGATAATAACATGTTTAACAGCGCTATTTTTATGCGAGTTTTAACAAGAATGTTTTATGAACTTTAACATAAAAGCATCTTTTCCCTTTGTTACGATTCAATGACGCGTTTTCCGCTCAAACGTGAAAACCTTTTTCAAGCTAACTCATGGTGAAACAATGCACACATCCAAGTGGGTATTTTATAACTGGCAAACTTAGCAACTGTACTTGTAATAATTAAACTGGTAATACCCACTATATCACTTACTTGTTTTCGTTCTCTGCCCATAAGCGTGTCATATTTAGCCAAGTGTAGAATAAAGAAAATTCCATTATTCTAGGACGCGAGGCTGTCAATAGAACCCGTCCTCATCACGGGATTTGCAGTCTCGTTCATCATTCTAAAAGAGGTCAATTAACAAGCACACATTTGTATGGTTTGCGCTAAAGCTAAACTGAAACTATCGCATTATTTCTTCCTATGAACCAGTTGATGGAGGCTGTCCACATTGTTGGCGAGGGGGTTTCAAAGCATTGTACAAGTCAACACTTGAGCCTCGTTCCTTCTGTGGCGGGTGGGGAATGTCAGTGACAGGGGCGACGCCAGCTGTCAGTCCCCACAGTTTGGTATCAGTGTGTTAGTGATGTGAGCTTCATCTGCAGTCTTTCAAGTATTTATATTCATCATACTTCACGGAAACCTTACGTAGGTTGAAGAGCCGTATCACAATCTTATCCAATAAAGGGGAGACTGGCGAAAATGTATTATTGTATAGGCTTATAAAGACGCTGTACTGTCGACTGTGTACGACAGCCCTGCATATATTGGACTGTCTTTCGTTATTGGGTCCTAGTTCAATACAGTGTTGTTTTTGTCTGTGTGAGGTGTCCGCCTTTGTTATGACAGTTTCTGGCCCCTGTACGACACGGGTTGTGTTTGCTTGTGTGGCTGGTGGTATTGAGAGACAAATTCAAGCTGATGGTATTGAGAGACAAATTCTAGCTCATGGTATTGAGAGACAAATTCTAGCTGACGGTATTGAGAGACAAATTCAAGCTGATGGTATTGAGAGACAAATTCAAGCTGATGGTATTGAGAGACAAATTCGAGCTCATGGTGTTGAGAGACAAATTCAAGCTGATGGTATTGAGAGACAAATTCTAGCTGATGGTGTTGAGAGACAAATTCTAGCTGATGGTGTTGAGAGAAAAATTCAAGCTGATGGTATTGAGAGAAAAATTCTAGCTCATGGTATTGAGAGACAAATTCTAGCTCATGGTGTTGAGAGACAAATTCAAGCTGATGGTATTGAGAGACAAATTCAAGCTGATAGTATTGAGAGACAAATTCTAGCTGATGGTATTGAGAGAAAAATTCTAGCTGATGGTATTGAGAGACAAATTCTAGCTCATGGTGTTGAGAGAAAAATTCAAGCTGATGGTATCTAGAGACAAATTCAAGCTGATGGTATTGAGAGACAAATGCTAGCTCATGCTGATGGTATTGAGAGACAAATTCAAGTTGATGGTATTGAGAGACAAATTTCAGCTCATGGTGTTGAGAGACAAATTCAAGCTAATGGTATTGAGAGACAAATTCAAGCTCATGGTATTGAGAGAAAAATTCTAGTTCATGGTATTGAGAGACAAATTCAAGCTCATGGTGTTGAGAGACAAATTCTAGCTCATGGTGTTGAGAGAAAAATTCAAGCTGATGGTATTGAGAGAAAAATTCTAGCTGATGGTATTGAGAGACAAATTCTAGCTCATGGTGTTGAGAGACAAATTCAAGCTGATGGTATTGAGAGACAAATTCAAGCTGATAGTATTGAGAGACAAATTCAAGCTGATGGTATTGAGACACATTCTAGCTGATGCTATTGAGAGACGAATTCTAGCTGATGGTATTGAGAGACAAATTCTAGCTGATGGTGTTGTGTGACAAATTCTAGTTGATGATGTTGAGAGACAAATTCTAGCTGATGATGTTGAGAGACAAATTCTAGCTGATGGTGTTGAGAGACAAATTCTAGTTGATGATGTTGAGAGACAAATTCTAGCTGATGATGTTGAGAGACAAATTCCAGCTCATGGTATTGAGAGACAAATTCAAGCTGATGGTATTGAGAGACGAATTCTAGCTGATGGTATTGAGAGAAAAATTCTAGTTCATGGTATTGAGAGACAAATTCTAGCTCATGGTATTGAGAGACAAATTCTAGCTGATGGTGTTGAGAGTAATTCAAGCTGATGGTATTGAGAGAAAAATTCTAGCTCATGGTATTAGGGAAACAAATTCTAGCTCATGGTATTGAGAGACAAAGTCAAGCTGATTGTATTGAGAGACAAATTCAAGCTGATGGTATTGAGAGACGAATTCTAGCTGATGGTATTGAGAGACAAATTCAAGCTGATGGTATTGAGAGACAAATTCTAGCTGAGGGTATTGAGAGACGAATTCTAGCTGATGGTATTGAGAGACAAATTCAAGCTGATGGTATTGAGAGACAAATTCTAGCTGATGGTATTGAGAGACAAATTCTAGCTCATGGTATTGAGAGACAAATTCAAGCTCATGGTATTGAGAGACGAATTCTAGCTGATGGTATTGAGAGACGAATTCTAGCTGATGGTATTGAGAGACAAATTCAAGCTCATGGTATTGAGAGAAACATTCTAGCTGATGGTATAGAGAGACAAATTCTAGCTCATGGTATTGAGAGACAAATTCTAGTTGATGATGTTGAGAGACAAATTCTAGTTGATGATATTGAGAGACAAATTCAAGCTGATGGTATTGAGAGACAAATTCAAGCTGATAGTATTGAGAGACAAGTTCAAGCTGATGGTATTGAGAGACAAATTCTAGCTGATGGTATTGAGAGACGAATTCTAGCTGATGGTATTGAGAGACGATATCTAGCTGATGGTATTGAGAGACAAATTCTAGTTCATGGTATTGAGAGAAATATTCTAGCTGATGGTATCTAGAGACAAATTCTAGCTGATGGTGTTGAGAGACAAATTCTAGTTGATGATGTTGAGAGACAAATTCTAGCTGATGGTATTGAGAGACAAATTCTAGCTGATGGTATTGAGAGACGAATTCTAGCTGATGGTATTGAGAGAAAAATTCTAGTTCATGGTATTGAGAGAAAAATTCAAGTTGATGGTATTGAGAGACAAATTCCAGCTCATGGTGTTGAGAGACAAATTCAAACTGATGGTATTGAGAGACGAATTCTAGCTGATGGTATTGAGAGTTAAATTCTAGTTCATGGTATTGAGAGAAAAATTCTAGCTCATGGTATTGAGAGACAAATTCTAGCTGATGGTGTTGAGAGTAATTCAAGCTGATGGTATTGAGAGACAAATTCTAGCTCATGGTATTAGGGAAACAAATTCTAGCTCATGGTATTGAGAGACAAAGTCAAGCTGATGGTATTGAGAGACAAATTCTAGCTGATGGTATTGAGAGACAAATTCAAGCTCATGGTATTGAGAGACAAATTCTAGCTCATGGTGTTGAGAGACAAATTCTAGCTCATGGTATTGAGAGACAAATTCTAGCTGATGGTATTGAGAGACAAATTCTAGTTCATGGTATTGAGAGACGAATTCTAGCTGATGGTATTGAGAGGCAAATTCAAACTTATGGTGTTGAGAGACAAATTCAAGCTGATGGTATTGAGAGACAAATTCTAGCCGATGGTATTGAGAGGCACATTCCATGAATATAAGTTTATGTTAAGTCCGTTACCTTCCAAGGTTTTTCAGGGAGACACACACTTGTATGCACGACGGTGTTTGAAGGGGTAAATTAGCAGATTGCTGGTTATTTTCCAACTATTTGATAGTTGGATTAGCTGCCACATGTTAAGGTTAACTAATTGCTCAGAAATGTATGTTTCGTCATTCCGTCACAATGCTGGTAAAGTGTATGTGATGCCCATGGTAATCACGACACCTGTATAATGAGTTTCCACACGCTAACCCCTCTAGTTACTTATATGTATGTAAATAAAACCCATTTCCTAAAAGGCCGACATGACAGTATCGTTTATTTTGTCAGAGAAATTGACATCATCTAAAACACTATGGGGTATTGTTTTGTTCTTTGTTGAACTTGTTTGTAAAGCGTGCACCATCTGACACAGGGGCATTGACTTATATGCATAGTGCATGGCACAGTTAATTTTTTCAAGATATTAACGAACAAGCTTTAGTTAATTCATTGGTTGGTTCTCCCCTTGAGGCGCTACAGGGAAGGTAAACAAACACTGGGGAAGAGGAACCATCTGCTGCACGTCAATCCAGGACGTGGGCTGCAGTGGAATCAGTATAGGCAATGGGCTAATTTACGTAGGTTTATACTTTAACTGAATACTTTGTTAGTATCAATACTGGTAAACGTCTAGGCTTAGCCAGCAAACCACCAGTGATTGGCAAGATGAAAATATTTTCTTTAATAGACATTGAGACGACTGTAGTGAGCACTTATATGGTTACTATCAGGTATGCCCCTTGATATGTTTGTGTACCCTATCCTTAGTGTGGCTTGATACCCCTACTGGTTACCCTTAGTGTGGCTTGATACCCCTACTGGTTACCAATAGTGTGGCTTGATACCCTCTAGTGGATACCCTTAGTGTGGCTTGATACCCCTACTTGTTACCCTTAGTGTGGCTTGATACCCCTAGTGGATACCCCCTCAGTGTGGCTTGATAACCCTACTGGTTACCCTTAGTGTGGCTTGATACCCCTAGTGGATACCTTAGTGTGGCTTGATACCCCTAGTGGATATCCCTAGTGTGGCTTGATATCTCTAGTGCGGCTTGA